ATAAATATTGGTTATTTAGTTGTTTTTCTTTCTCATTGAACGCACCAAATTGTTGTGTGTCACTGAAACAAAAGTGTATGTTCAGTTGAATAAATAAATATGACATGACCTGTATAGGCATGGTACTATTTATTAGAATTAAAATTAGAGACTGTTTAGTGCAAGCAGTGCTACCGTATGTGAGAAATATTGTTTGCTATTGCGATCGTATGGGTTGCAGTGTTGCGCCAGCTTTTCCCTAACAGGGGACTGGTATCTGTCAGTGGGTTAGTTCTCCCGACAGGTAAACTAGTACTCTTGACATCCTTTTTAAATAAATAATCCCATAATAAACACAAAATTGTATTACCATATTTTGATTTTAAAAAAATTTAAAAAAAACAAAATCCAACAAATTTAATTTTTTTCCCGACTGGGGTAGCGGGTCGTGTATAGTTCAACAAACTACCCCCACCCTTTCCAAATTAAAGCCATCCATTGCTACCTGCATTCCTACTTAATCTTTCAGTATTAAAAGAGAATTTAATATATAAAATCATTCAATTTGTTGTTGCCGCCAAATTGATATAGCCTCAATGATCTAGTATCATCTGAATTTGGGACTACGTCTACCCTTCGATGGTTACATGTTGAGAATACGTATTGGCATATTGTAATCGCCAACAAATTGGGTGGGTATTCAAAATTTTTCGATATAGTGAATCTATTTTGTTTAGAATGTTATTGTTAAAGTGATTATATGAGAATTAGGTAAGTCAATGTCAGTAAAACAATTCGTGAAGTATTTAAAATATCGGTATTATTAATAGGGGACTAATCAGATTGACGCCGTTCTCCATCAACGATTGATTTTATGTGCATTATTTATATGTACTTTTCTTATCTATTTACACTAAACAATCTTTCGCTCACGCTTTCATCTGAAAAACTTCACCAACAACGACAGGGTGACGGTGTTCCACGTCTAAATAGCTGTTACCTGTTTGAATAGTGATCGCATCTCAACATTAATCATGCAGCAACATGCTTGGTCAGCTTGTAAAATTTCAGAGCCTCCTGTTGTTTGCCCATAGATCAAATTTTGGAGCGTTATACAATACGAGTTTACAATATTTTCATCGTATAATATTGAAAACAAATAGCTTGAAACAAAATTGGTGTATGATTTTAATGGCCCATTTCTTAACAAATTATAGGACCATTAATTTTTACATGCATTTGTGATACTGTGTAATAGACACGCAAACAAACATTAGCGGTTAGCTGTATAATATCTTTGAATATCGTTTTAGACTGATTCATTCACATGCTTGGTCATCCTGTAATCATTTAGAAATGATTGTTGGGTGCATTTTATATTTCAACAGTTTCTAATAATAGGGTCTGTGTCTCTACACTTCTAGATGTGTACCCTCTCAACTTCAAGACTCCTAGATACGCCACTGGGCCCACACACCCTAAAATCTGCCTCCGCCCCCTCCCCCTCCCACACAAAACGAGTTTCTGGTCTCTAAAATCCAGACACTGTTTTGTGGCCTATACAGTACAAAATACTGTATAATTCATTGGAAAAGGAAATTGGACTTCCAAATGAAGTTGTATTTATATATACACAGTACAGTACTAATATTTTGCAAATCTTGAGATTTTAAAAGCAATCTTGGGATATTAGACTCAATCTTGGGAATTTTGATTTTTTCCAGTGGTCACACTGCCGATGGATAACAATTCACTGAAGGAGCCCGGAAGGCTTCTAAATCAAGCTGCGGATTTGCTGCTGGGCCAAGGCACTAGCCCCGGGTTTGGCATCTTGCACACTATCACTAAAACGGTAGAGGAAAGTCATTTTCTGAAACAATTTAAAACTAATATGTGGTGACACTACTACCAAAGTATTATTTTTTAATTATATTGAAGCAGATATCCTATCAGTACTGTCGTATCTGTCATTCAAAGTGCTGTAATATACAGTATAGGGACAGTTCTACGTAAATAATAGGCATCATGATGATTGAAAAGTGTAGCCGCGTTAGTCTGCTATTAATAATATAAAATAAATGACAGCAAGAATAACTTGTTTAAAATTTAATCTCTAGCTTTCGTCCATACGTAAAACTTTCATGACACAGGGCCAGGGCCTGCGCTGTAATTGCATGTATTTGTTCACTTTTGAAATTCCATATCATTCAAAAAATCCCAAGATCTAATGAAAATTTAACAAAAGATACCAAGGTGCCATTAAAAATCTCAAGATCTTGGGATAAATCCCAAGCAGTGGTCACATTGCAACATTGTACATGAACAAATTTTGTCCCGATTGACCCCTGATCTGTTGCGCCCTCTTATTGAGAGGCAAGTATTATAAAGGGGCTATGTTTAAGAAGAAAATTACATTCAGCCTTAAGATGCGAGATTTAGCTGACCTAACTTGAAATTGACGATTCCGTTGTCCTTTTCAGAGAGTGCTGTGCGCATCCATTTCTGCGACTACGTTGTTCATTTCTGTGAGTAGGTTGTTCGTTTTTGTGAGTGTCTTCTTGTCTGTTTTCGCTAATCACGTTGTACGTTTCTGTACAAGTCTAACGTTATCCTTTACAGCGTGTACGTTGTAGGTTTCTGCGAGTAGTTTGTTCATTCCTGCGAGTAGGTTGTTCATGCCTGCGAGTAGGTTGTTCCTATCTGAGAGTAGGTTGGTCATTCCTGCGAGTAGGCTGTTCGTTTCTGCGAGTAGGTTGTTCGTTTCTGCGAGTAGGTTGTACGTTTCTGCGAGGTTGTACGTTTCTGCAAGTAGTTTGTTTGTAACTGTATTTTTGGCGGCAATTGCCTTCCATAGATTTCATCAGGGCGGCTAGGATTGTACTCTTGTCTGATTCATCTGCAACGCAATTGGCAGAGTTGAACCAGGTTTAACCTTCCTGACAACTGTCTGCTATATAGTAAGCAAGCTTTTCCCGCCATTGTTGAAAATGAAGTGGGAAAATTTAGGCATTTGATGGGGGTGGGTGGGGGCCAGGTGTTGAGACATTCGTATAGTTCATAATTTGGAGGTCTCTTGAGTAGTCAGATAGGAAAAGGGAAAATGATTTGTTAAGTTGAAAAAAATAAAACTAAGGATAGTAGTATAAAAACTGAAAAAAATTCAAATTAAAAAAAATTATTGGGAATTTACATTATTAAAAATTGCATTCAAAAACCTAAAAACTATATAAAAATTTAAATAAAAAAATTATTTAGAAGTTACATTGTTAAAAAATACAATTAAAAATATATATATGTAAAAATTCAAATTAAAAAATTGATTGAGAATTACAAAAACAATCTAACATTAATAATATTTGCTTTTCACTGTGTCAGACCTGGGAAAAAAAATGTTGTGCCCCCAACTATGAAAGTTGTCTCAATAAAATGTCTCCGGTGACAGATAATTAATTAAAAATGCTTTGTCAGCTGAATCAAGTTGACAAGCAATAGACACATTCTGTGAGGTTTGTTTACAGTCTGTCTCTTATACACATCTTATGTATGTATGATCGTTTTCTTATTGCGAGTTTAAAAGCCATCGTCACGACAACTCCAGTTTTACAAAATCTGGATTTTATATGCACATTATCTCCATCAATTAGAAGTGAATGATTTTTTAATTACTTTAACAACTTTAAATCCCAATTTAACTACCCTTTCTTAGTCTGTCTAGATTGCCTTCCCCTCACGCGCAAACGAAGTAGACTAGGCCTATTTTGAAGTCCGCCTAATGGCTGCTGTTCATGCTTGAAGTCCAGACTTTATGTATTACAATGATTTTTTGTATTTTGTATTTTGATGTTTTGATTTTTGCTTCCTAATTTGCTTTTAATTTCCTTTTATTTTCTGTAACTAATATTCTTTGTTTAAAATTAGTTAAGTTTGATTATTATGTCTCTTACAGCATTGATGAAAAACACCATTGAGGTGATCAATTGTTTACCGTTGTTAAATAAAGTTTTTATTATTATTATTATTATTATTATTATTATTATTATCTATCATATTGCCAACTTTCAAGTAGGCATAATATCATAGTGTTTAGGAATGGACTAACCACACTATTAAAGATGTAATTTTAGTAGTTTTATCGATACGAACATAATTTTTCTGATGGTATTCAAGCTCATGTCAGATTACTCTTTGTTTGTTTAGCCTTGGCCAAGCTTGTGATCTATTAGATTTTTCCATAGGGCCTGTTTCTAATAACATATTGCATAGATATTACCTTACATTATATTTGTGCTGATAGTGTATGATTCAAATTTCTATTACTGTAGAACATGTTTACTGATTACCATAGCAACGAGTGCAATCAATCAGAATAATTTGGCTTTTGAAGTCATATTTACAAGGTGAACGCATAAATGGAGAGTCATAATATATTGTCGCTAAAGCAACACCAATGATTAAAAAAAATTATAAATTGGTATATATTCCATCCTCATTGGATTTTGTGTAATGGCTAGATTGGAAAATGGCAATGTAGATACACACTGTAATTTAATAATGTAATACATAATGCATAAGGTGGTCATAGTTTAAACCATAGAGAAAGTTCTATTTTCTCTATGGTTTAAACAGTGTATTTTCTCATCTTAAAAATTTGTAATCTACTGGTTGAAATGTAAAAATTAAAATAAATATATTTAATGGAGGAAATGACAAATTTTATGTTCTGTACATTCTTTGCAGTCTTAAGAATGTAAAACGTGTCCGATTTAGGTGTGAGGATGCAGGCACACCCATTGCACCCTCTGGGTACGAGTTTCTAGAGTTGTCCAATCCGGGCTTTTTTGCTGGCCTCTAAAAAATTGCATTTTCGCATTGATAATGTTACTTCTTATTTATCTAATCATTTTTTATTTGTTGAATATAATTGATTGATTGATTGATTGATTGATTGACAGGTGGAATCCTTGTTGTTAAATGTTGACTGTGTAACTGATAAAAAACCAAAAGACAGAGACTCCATGCGAAGACAGGGTGAGAACAAAAATTTATTCTTTATACAATTAGTTATCTTTTTTTTATTATAGATTATTATCATGAATCATTCATATCTGTCATATAAGTATGTTTGGGATAAAATTGAAACCAAAAATTGAGATGTAAAATGCACCAAACTAATGGAAGAGTTCTGGATCTCATACAGAAATTAACAACTCCCAATTACGAACCTCCCATTACGAACTCTCAAGTTTATGAACCCAATTTGCGGTGATGAGTTCATTACGAACGGAACGATCGTTTTTAACTAAACACTTAACATTGTATTTAAAAATCTTCAAAAATAATATAAAAATGAGCAGTATGGCTGCCACAAAGAATATGGACTTAAATCTTTCAATAGAACAAAACTACGTTTCAAGTAATTTATAAAAAAAATAACAAAAAACTGTAAATAAGCATATCATAGTCAATTTGTCCATAAACCTCACTTCAACAATTATGACTTATTATTTATTTAATTCATGTAGGACTATATAGATTTTTATGAATTTTGTTATCTTTTAAACTGTTATTATAGTATTGATATTTATAATTGTGTATAAAATGTAAATTTGTGTTTTGATAAACTCTGAATCTGAGCTGCCGATCTCCTATTCGAAGTACAGTTTCTTATAGTTAAATATGATCTGTGTGTGATTATTTAGTCATATCACAATGACAGATAATTAATTAAAAATGCTTTGTCAGCTGAATCAAGTTGACAAGTAATAGACACATTCTGTGAGGTTTGTTTACAGTTGGTCATGTAAAGTGGGTATTACTATAGACAATTTACAATGCGATCAGTAGCAAAGTATAGGAAAGTTTAATGTTATAGTTCGCCCACCATTAACTAAGAAACTGGCAAGGCAATGATTGTTCAAAATAGTTTTTATTTACTTTATTCTAGCATTCAATTTGCTTTGTATGTTTTTGAATTTATGTGATCCTTAAACCTAAGCTAGCCTTGAAATTGTACTTGTAGTGTGTCGAAATCGAAGTTGCCGATCAAAGACTCTCGTGCATACCAAAACAGGCCGTATACATGCAGGGGCCTAGGCCTAGCATTTCTCGAAAAATCTCAATGTTTGGGGCTACTGTTGTATCTTTTGGAGCTTCAGCAAACCATTATGGCAAAACTCTCAATCTCAATTTGCAATCACTTTGGCATAGTTACTGGCACTCCAACTAACATTATTCAACATCATATGTGCTTTATAGCATAAACAGTCCGAAGAAGCCACACGTTTTCCCTGTATTACTGAGCATCAGTCGTGCTGCATGTTTACAATTGATACCCACTACATGCAGTGGTGACGCCGTGACAGTGGGGCCCGATATCCCCAACGAAAAACTATTACAATTTAGGGGTTTTAAGGGCTTATTTAATCGATTTTAGAGCCTACTAATACATAGAAAATAATGCAATTTGTTTCTCCCCAACAAATTGTGGTTTTTCTCCCCGCCTGGGGCCGGCCCGCCCCAACCCCCTCTGTCGCCACGTCTGACTGTATGTCACATGACCAACCTAACGGAATATATTGTGCATCAATATCAAAGCCTTCATATTTATCCTCTATAGGGCTTCCATGCATGATAATGAAAGGCACATCACAAGTGATAGATAATTAAAAATGCTTTTTCTGCTGAATCAGGTAGACTTATTAGGATGAATGTCATGAATTATGCATTATGCATATGCATTATGTCCTATGCATTATGTTCTATGCATAGTGCAATATGAATATCGAAGCCTTAAATGTTCTCCCTCTTTTATTAGGGCTTCCATTTATGATAATGAAAGGCGCATATTGCGATGCTTTCATATTCCATGAAGAGTCACCGTTTGAATATATTGACGACGATGAGAAGTCAAAGCTGTTGTTGAAGGAAGAGAAAATCCCATTTGATCCTAAGCTTGATCCCAGAGAGGTACTATTCAGCATCATTATCAGCAGCATCATCATTATCATTATAATCGTCAATATCATTGATTGTCATCATCCTCATGATCATCATTCCGTTTACATGGTTACATCTTGTAAAAAACTAAAATGTCCGTCACTACAAGGTTTCTAGACTATTTCGATTGTGTGTGGTGTGTGTGCGTGTGTGATATTTACTGTGTAATAAAAACAAATAAAACAAGATAAAATAATAATTATCAATTGTCATCATTGTCATCGTCCTCATAATCATAATCATTATTAATATTGCCATTATCATTATCATCATTATCATAGTCATCATAATCATCATCATCTTCATCATATTAACATCGACATTATAAATTTGTTATTAAATTATCATCATCATCACCATAATCATGGTGTGCTCTTCTAGATACATCAGTTGTATATCATGTTCATCACACAAATTTTGCTCAAAAAAACTTGATGTCTGCCACATTTTATATTATAGGACATGCAACGAACTTGGGTAAAGTTTTTCAAATTCCAACCCATGTGGAAAATACGCAATTATTTTGGAGAGAAGATCGCCCTCTATTTTGCGTGGATAGGTTGTATGACTACGATGCTGTGGCTACCAATGCTGCTTGGTGTTGCACTGTGGATATATGGACTGTTACTGAGGTAAACACATTTATCTAATATTGTGAGCAGTACTGTAAAATACTAGGGAAAATGTGTGTTTGTGGGGTTTTATGCATTTCTGTATAGATATCATCCAAGTATAACATAGCAAAATATATTATTTTTAACGTATTACAAACAAGTTGGTATTTTATTAAACAAAAAATATATTAAAATAATGGTAAAGTTACTACTGATTCTACATGCAAAATTTAAAGGTACAAAAGCATGTCTCATTGAATATTAATAAATTAATCCCCTTAAACATTTTGGAGGTAAAAGTAAAACAGTAAAAATTCAGTTAAATGTGACTCAGCATATTGTATTTGTAGACAATATTGCTATATAATTGTATTGTGGACACATGTGAGATTTATATTTGTCAGAATTCATTTTAAAAGTTTTTGTTGTCTTCCTTGGGGTCTGTATCAATGAGGATGTTGGAAAGTTTGGCTCTGGCACCTCAGTGTTCTCTGTTTGATATTATGATGATGTATTTTGTAATAACATATTTTTATGATTTGTCACAATTATTCTTCTTCGTAAAAAAAAAATATATAGTATTGATAACTATCGCCATGAGCAAGATTTGGAAGAACAAAGGTTAAATAACCTTGAAATTCTGAAGAATGAACTGGAAATGAACATCAGTTTGTACAACAGTTCAGAAGACATCAGCAGGCTAGCCAATGTCACTACAGAGATCGCACTAGCAGGGGAGAGGTAGTGTACACATTATATCTGATACAAAGCATATGACATGACTAAATATGGTCATGATGTCATCACATCATGACTATATATGGGCATACAGTTTTTGAAAACAATACAACAAATTTACAACTAAAGATGATGACATAATTAATGTTGAAATATTGAATCCCAACACAATGGCATGTATTTCAATACTTGGAGTATGTATTATAATTTCTCTGAGGTTAAACAGTGGACTTTTCGGTTCAAATTTACAATGACCATGGTTGTGATAGAAGTGTCCTTGTCGAGGCCCTGCATAACGCTAATTCTACCACCACCACACACAAAATCAATTCAACATCCGCTTGTATCACCCTTTTTGTCATGCCATCTAAATCTGGCGAATACAAAATTTTGCTAGAAACTTGGTCCAGCTATAACTGAAACAAAGAATCTAGCAAGTGTGTGGACACAACAAGAATAAAAATACTCAATTAGCAACACTAAACTTTACACTCTGAACAGAGTACTTAATATTATACACTCTTCTCTCTTGAACAATTTTTCCCTCCACTCTCTTACTTACTAATATTAACTAAATTAACTTTACTCCTTTTTTGCTGATGTAGTTTAAAATGTACAATATTAATACAGTGAGTAATATAGACAATAGCATTTACAGCTGTTATTGATTCTGTGTATCCAATTTCTTTGCTTTCCCTCCCTCCTTGAATACATTTCTTAGCTTCTAATTCCTCTGCCATACATAGCTGTCTTTTTAAGTCCAAGTTCTGGAGGAAGACAACTGTTTTTAACATGTACATGTACATCATGTGCATTCAATATTCTGTATCTCATTACCATTGCCGAGTTTTTTATCGAACACCCAAAAAAACATTTATTTCCTCCAAAGCTGGATTTGTTGGTAGTAAAGGATTGCAATAACTTGTTATGGTTTTTACTCTCATGTAAGCTTCACTTAAACATTTTGATTTTACTTCAGCATATCAGATTTAGCTTTCGAGATGTTGACAATATTCAAGGATTCGTTTGACAGCAAAGCAACACCATTTTACGCCCTCATTATATGTCTTTGGGGTAAGTTGAATTATAATGAAACGACAAATGCAATTCGAACCCCCTCGTGAAGGTGTTGATATAAAAAGGCAATTTTTGGAAATACAATGTTTTGAAGCATATCATGTAGTGTTTTATTCTTTGCTGTATGATTGTTGAATTTGGGTGTTTATAGTATAAAAAGAGTTCCAGAATTTCATAATAATGCTATACTGTGTATTTTATTTATATATATAGCCTGGGTGCAGTAGGAAATTAGCGGGAAAAAAGTAAAGGAAAATTTATTTTTGGTTTTTCTGAATCAGTATATCATATAGTGTCTCAGAAAAAAAATCCCCATTCTTAGATCTTGGGCAACTTTTTTTATAGCACTTTGAAATTTTGACATAAAATATCATATTTTGGACTAATTAAGATGGGGGTAGGGGATAAATACGTATGTTTTTAGTCACTTTTACATATGTTATGTATATCAAATGTAACTAGAACTTGGCTAAATAGTTACTCTTCACTTTCGTTAAAAAATTTAAACAGAATGATGACGTCATCACAAAAAATTCCAAGATGTCCGCCATTTTGGCGGTAAAACATTTATATAATATATAAATATATATATATATTATAATAATAATAATAATAATAATAATAATAATAATAATAATAATAATAATAATAATAATAATAATAATAATATCATCAGAATACAAACCCACTGGAAAAAGAAATAGCGAAATTTTGCTCTGAAAGGCCCAACAATTCAATTTCTGGACTCGGATCGGGGTAAATTGAAAAAAAACTATGGCATTATTTTAGTCACTTCTAGTTTTGCTATAAATGTGAAAATTGACAATAAACTTAGTAAACTAGTTACTCTTTATTGTCTTTATCAAATTTGATTGAAATGATCAGTGCCAATTTCCAAGATGGCATTTATCTTGGCGGGAAAAATGGTTATTTTTGTAAGATTATTAGTATTATTATCATTACTACTGTATAAAATACAATCTCATCAAAGCAATGTACACATATAGAATATAGAAGATGAGGACGAGGGGGAGGATGAGAGGAATGATTCTCATCATTCATCATCATCATTCTCATTAATAATTTTCTATCATTCTCATCACCATCATCACAATCATTATTATCAACAACCATTATTATCAATCATAATCACCATCATCTTCATCCTCACCATCATCCTAATCATCTTTTTTCTCCTCCTCATCATCAACATCCTCCTTATAATAGGGAGTATAATGAGGAAGGAGATGACAGTGAGGAAGATGATGATGATAATAATAATAATGACATCAGTATAAGAAAAACAGTACTAACACTAATATTAATGTGAATTATAAACTATAATTTTTTTTATAATTATATACTACATTAATAATATTATAAAGTAACAACATAATAGTATAATAATATTGATAGAAGAAAAATGTAGGTAGAAAGATTAAATTTAAATAGGTAAACATTTCCTTTAATTTTGATTGCCGTAGTCTTGGAATTTGGTGTGTTGACGTCATCATTCCAAATTTGTTTGGGAGGTGGAGAATTCCCGTCAGACAGGCCTAGACTCCCTTCGTCCGATGCCACGACAAGGTCGCCACACCACAAATAAAGTTTTGCTTATCCTTATAACATTATTTTGATTGCCAATCCCTAATATTTTGGCTTAAAAGCAAAATTTTGGGCCATACTAAGCTAAAAAAAAAACTATCCCAGGGACGTTTATTCCGGGACTCTGTCCGAGGGTCTAGTCGGCCCTGTGTTTGGACCCACCCTATCAGACTCCCCTGGGCCGCCACTGAACGACTATAATGGGTAAGTATTTAACTAAGGTCTGTCAGTTTTCACAGTTATAGAAAAAAACCCCCTAAAAGTGACTAAAAACCTCTAAAAGTGACCAAAAACATAAACATGTCTCCCATACCCCGATCCAAAAATTGGTATTTTAAAGGGAAAATTTACTATTTCGTTTTTTCGTTGGGTTAACTTTGTATTAGTTCATTAATTATATATAGGGCCTATATGTTTTTTTTTAATGCTGTATGTATGTATAATATTGTATCGAGATTGTATTTCTTTGATAACAATAAAATTATTTTTATATTAAAAAACATAGTTTTTCTCACCATAATGGACGCCATATTGGAATTTGTCATGATGACGTCATCATTCCGATCAAATTTTTTAATGAGAGTGATGAATAACTATATAGCCAAGTTGTTGTTACATTTCATAACCACAGTATATGTAAAAGTGACCAAAAACATAAATTTATTTCCCCTACCCCCATCTTAAATAGTTTAAAATAGGGTATTTTAGGCCAAAATTTGAGACAAGCCCTAGGCATGGGGATTTTTTTTTCTGAGACACTATAGGGTATGCTGATTCAGAAAAACCAAAAATTAATTTTCCTTTACTTTTTTCCCGCTAAAGTTCATTTCAGCAGTTTTACAACCAGGCTAATACCAGTATACATGTATATATGCTTTTTATCTTTATATTTTATATTATTTTTTTTTCCATAGGTACTGTGTTTTTGGAGATATGGAAAAGAACAAATGCTAAATTAGCCTACGAATGGGATGTAGATCAGTTTGAAGTCACGGAGCCTGATAGACCCCAGTTCTATGGAACCAAAGAAAGACCGGTAAGAAAGTATTATGTAATTTCCAATATTTTTAGATTTAGATGTGATGCAATAAATGTAATCTGTAAAATACTGTAAGGAAGGAAGAGCTAATGGCATTTTAAATTTGGCATTTTGAAGTGTGTAGTGCTGCAACAGCTGTTACTATGGCTGAGAATGAGCATCTGTTTATAGTAAGCCTTTCTTAGTCATACTAGTACATTACAGTTAAAATTCTGTAATGTGACCGAGCGGTAAGGCAGGGTGACGTTCTACCTACTGCTTTAACATTGGCTTGTAATTTGATGTATGTATTTTTGTACAAATGTGACTCATGATCTGTAAACTCACACTGCGCTGTATTGAGAAACAAGCCTCAATAGCCATAATAGGCCGTAGAACATGAATTTTGAATTGGGTTTTTGTGTAATAAATAAAGTATAACTATTATTCTTAATATTCCTGAAGTTTGAGTGTAAAATTCCAACTGTAGAAGGTAAAATTTAGCCATTTTCGGATATGAGTTAGTGAAAAATGAATAGAACCTGCCGAAAATAAAAGCATTTTTCTCAAAACTTGATTTAAGAAAGTTGATAAGATGATAATTATTCAAACGGCCATAACTTTGCTTCCAGACACCTGATTGAGTTCATTTAACTGTCATTTTAAAGTAAATGATATGTTCCATGCCACCATAACAATAACATTTTGGCTGAGGACAGGTTTACACCCCTTTCATGATTTTGGGTCACAAATGTTAACCTGAAATAGATTTAAATTAAATTGAATTGAATCGGTGCTACAGGTAGTTCAAGCAGATCCTAATCCAGGGTTCCATTGGTAGAACCAAGTCTTCTTTGATAACGACTTAAGATGCACTTTAAATAACCCATTGCATCTTTTAAAAGAATAAGGGATTACCCCGATGCTATGACTCATTTCAGTCACTGTGGAATGATGTTAACATTTAAGCTTAAAGCTACGTTCACAGCAGTCCGGAGTTAAAAAATGGGTTCAGTGGTAAAGAATAGGACCGTTCACATCAAATTTGTACGTTTTTCAATCCAGACTCTGGATCTGGACCGATGGATCTGAGAGCCATTTGTATCCTGAAATTGTAGATTTTTTTTTTTTATTTACCAATCAGCAACAAGCTTGGTCGGTTCGAACCAATCAAACGCATACGTACTTAACCCGAACAACCGTGTTACATGCGCGATGTGAAAGCAGCATTAAAAATACGTAGCAACTCACCTCTTTTTTTTCGATGTGAACGTAGCTTAATATGCTTCTATAAGAACCTCTTTGGTGGCTAGGTAGTCAGGAACTTTTATGTAACTTTATATAACACAAGTGCATAAAGTTTTATGTATTAAATAAAGTCCAACTATTATTACATAAAATAGCTATGACAAAAGCTGATAACAATCATTGTTTCTATCTTTACAGGATCCCGTCTCTGATTTGCCCGATTGGTACTACCCCTTCTACAAGCAGTTTCTCAAGTTTATAACATCATTTAGTATTCTCGTTTTTATGGTAAAAGGAACATTTGTATATCTTCTTTTTGTTTTTGGATTGATTGATTTATTCAATATAAACACCAAGGATAACCCACAAAAGTCTAAAGAAAACTTATTTCCAGCTTTCTTCTGGTTAGTAGGCCATACACCTAAAGATAATCCCCTATTCTTTTCCAAAGAGTGTACTGCGTTCTTTAATGTGCAAATGGGGCATAAAGAAATTTGTATTGTATTGTATTGTTGTATAATGCACATGGGACCAACAGATTAAATGTTTCATGGGAAAGACGGTGCGCTATCGTAACTTGAATTTCAGCCCTCCAGCTGAAATACAAGGATATCAGCGATGGGAATTGTACCGGGGACCAAGAAATCTGCACGGTTCAGCGCACACACAGTGGCTACCAACCAGTTTAGCCAACTGAGCTAAGCTGCACTCATAATGTTGTTGCACTAGCAGGATTCCTTAAATGTTACTTATTTTATTATTTCTAATTTATCATATTTCTAGGCCTCCTTAGTTGTTGCCAGTGCCATATCTGTGATCTTGTATCGTTTAATCATGTCGTACTTATTCCGTGATGGCTCGTCTATCGAACAACTTCTGTATGCATCGTTGACGAGTACTGTCCTCAACTCAGCATGCATTATGACGCTCGGTAAAGTCTATGAATACGTTGCTTACAAGCTCACTGACTGGGGTTAGTGTAATTTTTTATTTCTTGTAAGGTGAAATTACATTAAACTACATTGTTATTTTTGTTGATTTCATCTGTTATTTTCAACGTTATTATTAGCTTAATTTGTTGAAGATACTATTGCATCATTCTTTATATTTTACAGAGAATCATCGGACACAGACAATGTATGAAGACGCCCTCATCATCAAGCTGTTTGCATTTCAGTTTGTTAACAGTTACACGTCGCTATTCTACATCGCTTTCTTCCGTGATGTAAGACTACATTTTAAAAAATATATTTAACAAGATGACTACTAGAAAGTATAACACATACGCCAAGTATTGAAATGCACGCCATCATGTTGGGGGAAGAATGATTAGACTACTAATGTATAATGTTACAATGTTTCTGTAGCACTATTACCCGATAAATTATCGGAAAGCAGCCATTTTGCTATTTTTCATTGCGGAAACAGGGCCCATAGTTCTTGATAAATTATCGGATGAGAATCATATTTTAACGGAAAAAGCCCCAAATGCGAAAAAAGATAACTTTTGACTGAGGTCAAATCACAGTACAAAGGAATTCTTTTCGTACACCTTGGAACTTCTTTGTGTGAACTTTTCTAAGCCTAGGTTCTCACACGGCAGCTAATGGTTAGCAGGATCCGGATCCTGCTAACCGTTAGCTGCCGTTTGTCCATACGAGAAGAACCCGAACAGGATACCAAAAATATGATGATCGAATCACTGGCCAATAAGAAACTGGAAATTGCAAACACGTACGTGTGATTGGTTGCTGATAAAAACTCGCTCAACTTGCTAACTGATAGCGCTTGCTAACCGTTAGCAGTATCCGGATACTGCTAACCGATCGGGCGTTCTCTAACTGTTAGCGCTAGCGGTTAGCTCCTGATTCGGATACTAGGGCTCTCGTGAGAACCAGGCTTAAAGGCAACTAGTAGTTAGTAGGCCCAGAGTTAAACGCTTGATCAATAGTGAGTAAATTTTCAGACTTTTATAAGGAGAAATTAGCTTTATTAAATGTTAAAATGACCAGAATATTTGATTAAATGTTACAATTATTTTTACAGTTAACAACAGATTCTGGTTTTCTGAATATGGGTGAGAGGTTTGTGGATCCCTGTGATGACAACAACTGTATGTCTCTTCTCTCCCTGCAAGTCTTTGTCCTCATGTTGATGAAGCCTTTCCCAAAATTCCTAAAGGATTTGATTCTTCCGTAAGTGTTGATTGAGAGTCCTCATGTCTTAAAGTTTTATTCCATGATTCAATTGCTTGATGCCTATCTACTCTAGTCTAGATATGAGTGCACAGAGACCCTCATTTTTTTGCATGGGATAAATTGATAATCTTTAACAATGTAACATCATCAGCTGATTATCAGTGACAATCTGAGCTGGTTGTCATTAAGAACAAGGACAAAATCTGATTTCGAGGCAGCTGGAGAGGAGTTTTTCCTAGACTGTCAAATTTTATTTCGAAGGAACATGTGACTTGCCTATATATGATCATGATGACATCACATCACGACCATATATAGGCACATCATGACTATGGGCATACACCAGAACAAACATGGTTTGGAACGTGAACCCTTGGATGGGAAAGTTAAGTATTTCCTAGCCAGCTCAGTTAGTTTAACTGCTTGTAGTGCAGGTTATATTTATAATACGCTTGGAATGTTCCTTTAAGCCCAGCCCCTTGGATACTGTTGCTAAGGTCGAGCAAAATGCTTCAAAGCTGCTGCAGTTTTGTTATTTTCTCTGTCCTTTTAATCATTTTTCTGCCTTTTCTTTTCTTTACGTTCACCTTACCTTTTGTTTACTTGGACATTGTGTGTAGAGACCTTCATTTGATTTGATTTGATTTATTGTAATACCATACATGAAATATACAAAACAATTGTAAAACAACATGAATATAAAAATTAATAAAATCATGTGGTATTAGGGATAACCCTCTAAAATCCCTAGAAGTGGATTTACATTTTGAAGGGTCCCTTGTTTATTTGTGCCTTATATTGACATTATTATTATTATTATTATTATTATTATTATTATTACTGTTATTATAACATAGATTTTTAAAGAAGCTTTGGCGAAGACGGAAATGTTGTCGGAAGGCGAAAGTAGCAGCATCTGAGAAAATTAAGATAGAGGATGTGGAATTTATAGAGAAAGAACGATTGAAGCCACCCGTCAAGGATTTCACACTGTGGGAGTACAATGAGAAGATCATTATGTATGGCTACCTAATGGTACACAAAATAATTTATCTTAGTACAATTGATGTTGTATTTGATAGTGTATAAGAAAAGTTTTTTTAGAATCAGAATTTATATAGTCCTAACACAATCCGCAGATTATACAAAGCGATTTATACAAGGCGCTGGCATCATTATTTCCCTGGTCACTGGATACTGAGTTGGCAGACCCGCACATTGTACAACTTTCTCAGCTCCCTGGCTCCCTTGACACAAGCAATGCGACGAGCGTCAAATCTCGAATTCCCAATCTAACGATCAGAAATCCAACACCTTACACGTTGCACCACACGCTCCTAGTTAACTCCTATCACACCTACATTAGATCAAGCACCTATGAAATACTAACTGATTCTATGGTATGTTTTCCAGTATGTAGCAACTATTGCACATAAGCATTCCAATTTACTAGGCTATGCACTTAGACAGAGAGGTGATACAGATAAAGTGCCTTGCACAAGAAAACATACAAGGGATCAGCCTTGGATTGAAACCTAGATTTTTGCAATTGGAAGCCCAACACTTTACCAATGTACCACTTTTCCCACATAATTTCTGGTTCGAGAAATTAAATTGTTTGTCAAAGCAGACATTGTAAAAAGTGTGGGCAGAAAAGTACTTTTTTTTATATTCATAATCTTTATTCCAGTTTTAGTGCTTTTTAATTTAACTTATTTTATATTCTTTAAAAATGATTTTTTTTTTTTTTTAAATTTCATTCTAGCTATTTTCATCAGCCCTTCCTCTCGCACCGCTCATTCAGTTACTTACCAATGTGATTGACATACGTGTTGATGCTAAACGTCTACTGTGGTTCAACAGAAGACCGGTCCCATATATATCACAAGATATTGGTAAGTGATTAACGGGCGGATCGAGAGATGTCTGAAAGGGGGGTCCAAAAGTAGGGCTGATCGAGACAACATTACCCTAGGGGCTCCAGGGGCATTTGTTCTATCGATGCCCGTTTTGAGCGATATGTTATTTATTTTTCTTTCTTTTTCTTTTATTTTACTTTCCGAAATGGGGGCCCTTGGCCGGAGCCGACCCCGCCCCTCCTAAATCCGCTTCCGATTAACACGTTGGCTGCCAGTGATGTGCATTCACATCAGACAGGTTTCACTCGAGACTCCGAGGACATAAGTTCACGTCCACACCTGTCCAACTGACCACTATTATATTGCGCATAAACTAGCAGAACACAAACTCTTGCCCCAAATTAATGATCTAAAAATAGCTGCCGTATGTTTGTTCGTGCTTCACTACAGTTAATTGCAATGATTTTGATTATGGTGGCACCATTTATGCCTTGGTGTTTGGGATGGAACTAGGAAAAAAGGCTTGGCAATTAACGTGTTAAACTGTATCAATGTTTCATCTTCTCTTCAGCTGCGTCCAATACAAAGAAGATGTTGTCACATACTTTTAATAAATAAATGTGTAATATTTACACCAAGTTGGATGGTATAAGCCTCTTATTTTTGCCAACCATTTATCAACAAAGTCCTACCCAGTCGGGTATCCAGAAAGTTAATTTGTCTTTAATACTTGTATATTTTTCCAATTTCAGGTATGTGGTTTGCAATCCTGAATTTCCTCAACATAGCAGGAGTAATTAGCAATGCGTTTATTATCTCTTTCACTGCTCAGTGGGGTCAGGATTATGACCAGGAAGGCAAGCTCTGGATAGTCCTCATTTTTGAAGTAAGTTTATGTTTTGAATAAATAATAATATTAATTTTCAACAATAATAATAATAGTTTTAAATATAAGTTGTTTTTGAAATTCCTTTTTACTTTCCTTTTTTTATATTTTATTTTGTTCTTGGGTGCACCATCAAAGTGATGGATCCCACTGATCTAAAAGTGAACCCAATAAATCGTTAAAAAAAACTGAGTTGTTAACCCAGGTTAAACAAGAAATTGATAAATAAAATAAAATGCATAATTGTATCAGGGACCCCATCTGAAATAGGCTTTCAGGATTAGCCTCTGCTCATTTTTTTGTCCCTTCTTTGTAATGATTTCATGGAAAACAAAAAATATTTCTTACTGTTTTATTTTTATTTAAATATTATTGCTTAATTTCTGTTTATCTAAATCATATTTTGTGTATATAAATGATAATATTTGTTTGTTTTCTTACAACAGCATATTGTGTTTGCCTTCATGTTCTTTCTGGCGTATGCCATTCCTGATACTCCGAGGGAAGTTTCCCTAGCAATAAGAAAGGTCAGTTGATCACTTGAAGTAGTAGAGATTCATTATATGTCAGTCCATGGTCTTCACTTAAGCCCAGGGCCAAAGATGTGCCAAACAGCAAACTTAATCACTTTTCTAAGAGGCATAACATACACATGAGATCTCTACATAAAACTAAGTCTCAATATGAGTCTTAAAGATTGCAGATGTGTTGATCGTTAGAAAAGAATCCTGGTACCATGACAGGCATTGAACCCAGAACCCTGGGTTTGGAAGGCAAGCATCTTAAGTACCAAGCTATTCAACCCCACTCCATTGGTTGTTGTTGGAAGAGTAGATTTTTGTTGACAACAAACTACCGTACATGCCTTGTCAGTGAGGTTGTGACGAGTAGACCTAATAAACATGAACAATGGAACATGTGACATGACTAAATATGGTCATGATGACCTCCCATTATAGACATATGACCAAATATGTGCACACAACAGTTGGTTGTCAAAGAAAAAAAAATATTTCAATAGAAAGTTTGAACAAAATTCTACCGTAATTGTACATAAAATTAATTAAACTATTTTTAATTCTATTCAACAATATGTCTTATCAATAAATTTAAATATATAACTTCTTTTTAGGAACGATATCAAGTGAATATACAAATGGATGACACCAAGGATAAAGGAGACCTAACAGCAGAAGAATCCGCAACCAAACTACGAAAAATACCAACAAATCTTGAAGGATACAATTACTTTAAGTCGACTTACTTATCCAACAAAAGTGATGAGTATATTAAAAAAAATCCTTCTTCAAGATCCAACAGCCCTGAGAGGCAGGAAGTGACTGAGAATGGATATTCCAAGCATGGGACAGTTGAGTATGTGCCAGATGAAACATCACCACCACCTGAGCAATACGTATATTCAAAGTTCGTATAATTTTTATATTTTGTTATTCAGTGGTGCTGAAATAAATTTTGTGTATTATGCTGAGAATTTGATTATGGATTTTGTTTTTATCTCTTTTGTATTTTTATATAATAATGTTTTGTTCATTATTATATTTTTTGTGTTTGTAAGTTTTAAAATTATAGGTTGTTTAATATTAATCAGGTTAAAACAATACATCTTATCTTTTCTGTCTGTACCTTGTGTAGTTGAAACCACTCCTCTTGTTTTTATTTCCAACTACGATAGTTGAGTATAATGTTAATTTAAAAGCAAATATTTACTCTGCATTTTTTATCATGGAATTGGCACATTAAACATCTTATACTTTTTTATTATTATTATTATTAAAACAGCATTATTAAATTGAATCATAAGTACCATGATCATAATCACTACAACTAGACATCATCATTATCAAAATTATAATTATAATTATTATTCAAAATTATCAATCAATTTCATTATTTAAGTCTGCTCTTACAAAACATCTTATTTCAATGTATTAATTAACTAATTTTAATTTAAATTTTTAGTATCTAAGTTTAAATTTGTTATTTTTATTTTGTGTTCTATGGAGCGAGTACATTGATTGTTTGGGCTTTCGCCTATTCTCGCATCCTGGCTAAATTGTTATTATTATTATTATTGATATCATAACCATCATTATTTTTATCATCAGCACTAAAATGGTCATCATCATTCATTATCACTTTATTTTTATCATTAATCAATCATCTTCACTGTCATTGTCATCGTCATTATAATGTAATGTGGTTGGATTTATATAGCGCTTTATACAGAAGTCTCAAAGCGCTTGAGGTGTGGACTAGCCTGCACAGCAACTTTTTTCTCCCCAAGGGTCTCTACGTGTCTGAGCTGCCCGGTAAACCAGTACCAGCTACTCTTGTCTGTCCACAACAGGGGCTGAATGGACCAGTACACCGGGTTAACCTCCTACTCACAAGCCATTGCATTCACTGGGCCTAAGGTTTATGCTTAGTCCTTATTCGAGATTCAAGAAGACTTGTTTCCCCACCAGAACCGTGAGCGAGCATGCTGTTCGAAGCACCGATATTATGGTTGTGGGCAGCGGCGCCCCTGCCTTACTGCTCGTCCATTATCATCATTATCCTCGCCATTATTATTACATGTCGAAAAGTTAGTCTATGTGGAATACGTCTCTTTTTTTTTTCTCGAGATTAAAATCGAATTAAAGCTATTTATGTGCAATTCTACTTTACAGCGACTCTAATTATTCAGAATCGACTGAAGGCACACAGTACATGTAAGAGTTTATATTCAGCATCAACATTATTCTTGAGCCGTATAATCTATCCTTTAATGTATACATCTAGTGCCTACATACAGTACTTTAATGTATACATCTAGTGCCTCTATTATTCAATGTATACATCTAGTGTGTCCATACTTTAATGTATACATCTAGTGTGTCCATACTTTAATGTATACATCTAGTGTGTCCTTACTTTAATGTATACATGTAGTGTGTCCTTACATTAATGTATACATCCAGTGCATCCATCCTTCAATGTATACATCTAGTGCGTCTGTCATTTAATCTAAACATCTAGTGAGTACATACTTTAATGTATACATCTAGTGCGTCCATACTTTAAAATGTATACAGTACATCTATCTAGTGCATCCATACTTTTAATGTATACATCTAGTGCGTCTATACTTTAATCTATACATCTAGTGGGTCCATACTTTAATGTATACATCTAGTGGGTCCATACTTAAATGTATACATCTAGTGGGTCCATACTTTAATGTATACATCTAATGGGTCCATATTCTAATGTATACATATAGTGCATCCATACATTAATGTATACATCTAGTGCATCCATATTTTAATCTATACATCTAGTGCGTCCATACTTTAATGTATACATCTAGTGCATCCATACTTTAATGTATACATCTAGTGCGTCCATAGTTTAATGTATACATCTAGTGGGTCCATTCTTTAATCTATATATCTAGTGCGTCCATACTTTAATGTATACATGTAGTGCATCCATACTTTAATGTATACATCTAGTGCGTCCATAGTTTAATGTATACATCTAGTGGGTCCATTCTTTAATCTATATATCTAGTGCGTCCATACTTTAATGTATACATGTAGTGCGTCCATACTTTAATGTATACATCTAGTGCGTCCATACTTTAATGTATACATGTAGTGCGTCCATACTTTAATGTATACATCTGGTGTGTCCATCCTTCAACGTATACATCTAGTGCGTCTGTCATTTAACCTATACATCTAGTGGGTTCATACTTTAATGTATACATGTAGTGTGTCCATAATTTTAACATTGTTTACTAAATCAGATGAATATCATTTCATTCTTTATGCATCTGGACAAGCCCTTTATTTAATCTAGTAACTGGGTGGAAAAGTCTACAACACATACTCAGCCCCTTGAGGGAGTACTCCGTGGTTGCAGCTAGTAATCTGTCCATTGTATTTTTTGTTTTACCAGAGAAACATTATGGGATCTGACGTCATCAGACTTCTCCAACCGCAAGCCAGTTGTTGGATCATACACAAGGTTTTGATATATTTTAGTGATATTTTCTACAATTCAAATTATCATGAATGTTGGTTTGGCAGAAAAAAAAGCACCGTCAGAGTCAATATACATGCTCACACTACGGCGTTCAAAAGTCTGAAAAAAGTAGTGGACTACCATATAATATTAAACTAATTTGATTATCTGCCATACACTAAACTATATATATAATTTTTTTTTTTTTTTTTTTTCAGACGTGCCCTACCTCGATATACTGCCATAGAGCCAACTGGGGCTGGTGGGCCTTTTGGACCATCACCAGGACAGCAGGTAAATGAGTTACCTGTGACTTTTGATATGTAATAATCAAAAGAATTGTATACAAATGGACTACCCATTGGATATCTTTACCTTGGTCCCCCAAAATAATGTACTTAAACATGTGTTTGTGGGACAAGCATGTGTTCCTGACCTTGGTCAATTTTAAAGTTTGACTGGCACTCTATAATAAATAAATAAATATAAAAAAGGTTTGTTGTTGTAGGCTGTTGGTAAAGTTACGATATTAATTTTTTAATTCAGGTGTTTAACTAGTAATTTATATTGTTATAGTTATTGATTATTATTTTTATAATTATTTATATTTTGCAGGCTAAATTCACTTATAACATGAAGGCATTACATGACCCATTTAGTACACAGAACAGAAAATTAGTGAACGATAACTATGGAATTTCCCTTCCACTTATTGTTGAACGGAGACAAAACAAGGTAAGTGATGTTAATAGCAAAGTGTGCATAGTTTGCACACACATTTTGAATTGTTGCTACAAAATTGTTTTAAATCCAGACTGTTGACAGAGGTACAGAGTGAGTGTGTAAACAATAATCTCTTAAGTTCTTCTGTAAAAAGCTCCGTATTGTACATTCCTTAAACTGAAAGAAGTATCGGACCCAGATCTAAGTTTTACCCAGGCCACACCCACATAGCAGCCTGTTAAATGACCTCATCTTTTTTGCAATAATTAAATAAAACAAATTTTACATTGGTAATGTTTTTGAAATGTTATTATTTTATTTGTTATTAAAACTTGTAACAGTAAGAAGTATAAAAAAAAATATAAAATGCTGTTTTTATTTTTAATTTTTATTTCATTCAATTCTATTTAAAGGTTCCTCTGCAAAAACCAGTTACAGGATCAAATGTTGAACACCTTGCAGTTCTGCCACGAGCAAACCGTGTTGATCCACAAGTAAGAATAAACTTTAAGCCTACTTCTACCTCGTATCATACCTATTGCTTGTAAAGCTTTTCTCTCATTGTAATGTAATGTAGTTAGATTTATATAGCGTTTTATACCGAAATGGTCTCAAAGCGCTTGAGTGGTGGATTAGCTCTTACAGTAAACTTGCTTCTCCACTAAGGGTCTCTTTGTGTCTTGTGTCTTACCTACATGGTAAACTGCCAACTATTCCCTACTCTTGTCTGTCCACAACAGGGGCTGAATGGACCAGTACACCGGGTTAACCTCCTACTCACAAGCCATTGCATTCACTGGGCCTAAGGTTTATGCTTAGTCCTTATTCGAGATTCAAGAAGACTTGTTTCCCCACCAGAACCGTGAGCGAGCATGCTGTTCGAAGCACCGATATTATGGTTGTGGGCAGCGGCGCCCCTGCCTTACTGCTCGTCCATTATCATCATTATCCTCGCCATTATTATTACATGTCGAAAAGTTAGTCTATGTGGAATACGTCTCTTTTTTTTTTCTCGAGATTAAAATCGAATTAAAGCTATTTATGTGCAATTCTACTTTACAGCGACTCTAATTATTCAGAATCGACTGAAGGCACACAGTACATGTAAGAGTTTATATTCAGCATCAACATTATTCTTGAGTCGTATCTATCCTTTAATGTATACATCTAGTGCCTACATACTTTACGTATACATCTAGTGCCTCTATCCTTCAATGTATACACCTAGTGCCTCTATCCTTCAATGTATACATCTAGTGTGTCCATACTTTAATGTATACATCTAGTGCGTCCATACTTTAATGTATACATGTAGTGTGTCCTTACTTTAATGTATACATCTAGTGCGTCCATACTTTAATGTATACATGTAGTGTGTCCTTACTTTAATGTATACATCCAGTGCGTCCATCCTTCAATGTATACATCTAGTGCGTCTGTCATTTAATCTAAACATCTAGTGGGTACATACTTTAATGTATACATCTAGTGCATCCATACTTTAAAATGTATACATCTATATAATGCGTCCATACTTTAATGTATACATGTAGTGCGTCCATACTTTTAATGTATACATCTAGTGCGTCTATACTTTAATCTATACATCTAGTGGGTCCATACTTTAATGTATACATGTAGTGCGTCTATACTTTATTGTACAAGGGAAAGAAAAATGAAAGGCTTTGGGATGAATAGGAAAGTAACAGGCCTTGAAATGATTCAAATTACCAAAGCATTGTAATAATAACGTTTATTGATAATCATCAAACCAATCATTTGAACTTAATTTAACTAACCTAAAACCAAATATTTGACAATAATTTTTTTGGTACATTTGCATTTGTTTTGGTTTTTCTTCTGTGTTGTTGTTAAGCGCCTCGAGGTTGTGTCAACGTGAGACGCTATATAAATCCAGAGTTATTATTATTACGTTATACATCTACAATAGTGTGTCCATTCTTTAATCTATACATCTAGTGCGTCCATACTTTAATGTATACATGTAGTGGGTCCATTTTTTAATCTATACATCTAGTGGGTCCATACATTAATGTATACATTTAGTGGGTCCATACTTTAATGTATACATCTAGTGGGTCCATATTTTAATGTATACATAGTGCATCCATACATTAATGTATACATCTAGTGCATCCATACTTTAATGTATACATCTAGTGCGTCCATACTTTAATGTATACATGTAGTGCGTCCATACTTTAATGTATACATCTGGTGTGTCCATCCTTCAACGTATACATCTAGTGCGTCTGTCATTTAACCTATACATCTAGTGGGTTCATACTTTAATGTATACATGTAGTGCGTCCATAATTTTAGCATTGTTTACTAAATCAGATGAATATCATTTCATTCTTTGTGCATCTGGACAAGCCCTTTATTTAATTTAGTAACTGGGTGGAAAAGTCTAGAACACATACTCAGCCCCTTGAGGGAGTACTCCGTGGTTGCAGCTAGTAATCTGTCCATTGTCATACAAACGTATTAAGTGCCCACAAGGTCGTCCATAATTTTCATAGGAGTACAAAACTGAATTTTTTCAGTAACCCCTCCCCTCCCCCAGAAAGAGTTCACCATTAAAGTTTGATTTGTGTCATTTCTAGATCCTCATTTTATCTTTTTCATAAAAGAGTACTTAAGTCTGCACTTTCCACCCCTCCCCCACTAAAACATATATTTTGTACTCTTTTGAAAATTTTGGATGGCCCTTTATGTAAAGTGAGAGAAAATGTTGATAAAGTGGCTTACCAAAAACCAGAAGGAATTATCCAGTAATGACACCCCAACCCTAACCTTGAATGATCTACTAGCAACAAATATTATTTGTTTTCTACAACACTATGTAGAACCATTGAAAAATTAATCTAGATCAAACAGTCGTACCAGGGAACAGTAAAATTGCACATTCTAACAGGCACACTGCTGTACCATACATACCAATTAATTATAAATAATTTATTTCCATGTTTTACAAGGCTTTTTCTCGTCAATAATGCCGCTAGTCATCCTTGATGTTAGTTTTATTATCAAATTTTTCATACAAATTCACCTCCTTATTAGATCAATCAACTAGTTTCTTGGGCAATATAAGAATAAACTATTATTATTATTATTACTATACTTCATTTTCTTTCTTATTTTATCTTCCAATATAATTTAAAGTGATAATTATAGAGACCAACTGGGATCAATATGTTAATCTCAAACAATGAAATGTTGGAAATAACTTAATTTGATGTCATCCATTTAAATTACAAATTATGAAGTTATTTGAGAATAACATGTCATGTTGGAAGGATCCAATGAATTTGTACTTAATCAGCCATAGAGGGTGGTGGAGGGCTCTGTGATGATTTTACCCCCTCATAAATCCCTCTCTGGGGCCCTTTATTATAACATTGGGGGAGGGGGGTGAGTGGGTTGTGATGATCTTCACCTCTCATATGTAAAAGTCCTTCACTGGGGCCCTCTATGATAAAGTCCTTGTTGGGGCTGTGATGATCTTAACCCCCCCTCCCCCCAAACTTCAAAAGTTCCTCTTGGGGCCCTCTATGATAAAGTCCCTGGTGGGGCTGTGACAATCTTCACCCCTCATCTGTAAAAGTCCTCTCTGAGGCCCTTGTATAAAGTCCTGTGATATACCACTGACCATCTTAATACATCTATATATTCAATATAGGCCTAGTGGGTTTATTCCATGATATATGATTTAATTATATTTGATAAATATTATTTGTAATTTAGTCATTTATTATGTATATTAATTTTTAATATTTTTTGAACTATTTCTTTAAATAGTTTTTTCAAAAATTTCATTTGATTATATTAAAGATTTCCTTATTCAAAATGATTTATTAGTTGTGCTCTAAGAATTAGGTCTCTGTTTAAAATAAGTAAAATCCAAGTTAAACCTTTGACCTCAACACAAGGGAATATATAATGAAATTGTTTTCAGTCCTGAAATAAAAATCCAGGCGGCACAGACACTGGAATAAGGAAATTCGTAGTTTGGAGTGTACATGCCCGTGTTGAGGTCAATCAACATAAACAAACATGCACGCATACATACACAAACAAACACCACATACATACATACATACACACAAACATACACCACATACACACACAACATACAGTAGGTGACCTTTGATATGGGCATGCACAGTTTAAACTATAAATTGGGCTATTTCCACTCAAGTATCTTAAAGATGTATTTTTTCTTGCAAAATACCAAAAAAAATGTTTACCTGTCATTTTAAAGCAAAAAATGATAGAACTTCACTTCCAGTGACTGGAAGTGTTTTATTATCTTTATTATAATTATCTAGATTAAAAATCAGAGTACATATTTTTTTTATTTAATAATTTCTATGCTCAAGTTAATAATTTTTATGTTACTGCAAAATAAGCAAGTTAATTTCAAAATTATTTTTTATTATTTTTTGTCATTTTCAAGGGACAATACATCTTTAACCAATTACTACAGCTTTCTTGCTATTTAGTTATTCTTGTGTTTGTTTTTTTTTTCCATCCATTAGAATTAATTACGACGATAGTTTTGAAAAGGATGTGAACCCTTTTAACCATAACTCACTGGAGCCAATCAAACACAAGAAAAAGAAGAAGAAAAAGAAAAAACCAAAAGTTGTAATGGAATATGAAGAACCACCAAACATTGTTTATCCTGACAACCACAATCACAACATGAATGTACAGAACTTGTACCCTAACTACGATAATGGTCCATTCATCGCCACTGGCTACAATGATCCCGCATATCCGCCACCAATTGTGTACAATCCATATGGAACCACAAATGCCTGATTCCGGAATGTAGTTGGTACCAAATTAAAAAAAACGATTTTTATATCATATTTTTGTGTGCACAATGTGTGTATCGTGAAAGTCTGCTAAGTAGGGGAGCATTATGCCTGCTTTATTTTCATTGTCTTTTATTATAGGATTTATATACCGTAGCACCTTTCCTTCCAGTTACATATTATTAGTTTTATTAATTATTATTCCTGTCTCTTATACACATCTAGATGTGTATAAGAGACAGCTCTATGATAAAGTCCCTGGTGGGGCTGTGACAATCTTCACCCCTCATCTGTAAAAGTCCTCTCTGAGGCCCTTGTATAAAGTCCTGTGATATACCACTGACCATCTTTATACATCTATATATTCAATATAGGCCTAGTGGGTTTATTCCATGATATATGATTTAATTATATTTGATAAATATTATTTGTAATTTAGTCATTTATTATGTATATTAATTTTTAATATTTTTTGAACTATTTCTTTAAATAGTTTTTTCAAAAATTTCATTTGATTATATTAAAGATTTCCTTATTCAAAATGATTTATTAGTGGTGCTCTAAGAATTAGGTCTCTGTTTAAAATAAGTAAAATCCAAGTTAAACCTTTGACCTCAACACAAGGGAATATATAATGAAATTGTTTTCAGTCCTGAAATAAAAATCCAGGCGGCACAGACACTGGAATAAGGAAATTCGTAGTTTGGAGTGTACATGCCCGCGTTGAGGTCAATCAACATAAACAAACATGCACGCATACATACACAAACAAACACCACATACACACATACATACACACACCCATACACAAACATACACCACATACACACACAACATACAGTAGGTGACCTTTGATATGGGCATGCACAGTTTAAACTATAAATGGGCTATTTACACTCAAGTATCTTAAAGATGTATTTTTTCTTGCAAAATACAGAAAAAAAAAAAATCATTTTTGAGATTAACTTGCCCATTTTGAAGCAACTTAAAAACTATCATTTTGAACATGGGAATTAGTGTATTTAAAAAATGTTTACCTGTCATTTTAAAGCGAAAAATGATAGAACTTCACTTCCAGTGACTGGAAGTGTTTTATTATCTTTATTATAATTATCTAGGTTAAAAATCAGAGTACATATTTTTTTTATTTAATAATTTCTATGCTCAAGTTAATAATTTTTATGTTACTGCAAAATAAGCATTATAGTTAATTTCAAAATTATTTTTTATGATTTTTTGTCATTTCCAAGGGACAATACATCTCTAACCAATTACTACAGCTTTCTTGCTATTTAGTTATTCTTGTGTTTGTTTTTTTTTTTCATCCAATAGAATTAATTACGACGATAGTTTTGAAAAGGATGTGAACCCTTTCAACCATAACACACTAGAGCCAATCAAACACAAGAAAAAGAAGAAGAAAAAGAAAAAACCAAAAGTTGTAATGGAATATGAAGAACCACCAAACATTGTTTATCCTGACAACCACAATCACAACATGAATGTACAGAACTTTTACCCTAACTACGATAATGGTCCCTTTATTACTGCTGGCTACAACGATCCTGCATATCCGCCACCAATTGTGTACAATCCGTATGGAACCACAAATGCCTGATTCCGGAATGTAATTGGTACCAAATTTTTAAAAACGATCATATTTTTGTGTGCACAATGTGTGTATCGTGAAAGTTTGTCTGTTAAGTAGGGGAGCATTATGCCTGCTTTATTTTCATTGTCTTTTATTATAGGATTTATATACCGTAGCACCTTTCCTTTCAGTTACAAAGTCGATTTTTGTTTCTGGTTGTAAAGTCCACATGCTTTATTTTTGCTTCTGCATTAGAGCAGTAGCAGGCAACTCTACCAGATAGGCCTACCCTTTTATCGTTCTGGTAAATAATGTACCTTGGTTAAAATTAGGTACCGGTATGTAGTTTCTTTGTTTTTTTTATGCTTTTATTAATTATTTGTTGTTATTATTATTATTATTATTATTATTATTATTATTATTATTATTATTAATTTAACTGACTAAATCCTTTCCGAGCCACTGGGGCTCATAGGGCTGGAGCTTATCCCCAGTTTCTGTAGTGTGAAGCGGATGAGAGTTGTACTCCCCCTGGACGGGACACTAGTCCGTCGCAGGTTAGTCCAAAGCAGTTTGCTGGTACCCATTGATACAGCTGGGTGGACTGAAGCAATGTAGCTAAAGTGCCTTGCCCAAGGACACAAGTTAATCTGCACAGCGGAGACTCGAAACCCCGACCTTATGATTGAAAGCCCGAACCTCAACTGCTGCGCCAAACTGCCGCTATATTATTATTATTACTGTTATTATTGTTATTATTATTACTATTATTATTATTACACTTATTACTATTATTATTATTTTTATTATTATTATTATTATTGTCGTTGTTGTTGTTTGCTATTTTTATTATTATCTTACTAAAACCTACCTTAAAGGGAACTTAGACAATGGAGACATTAGAGAACAATTAAAAAAGCGACGTTAATGGGAAAATAACATGACGTTAAGGGGAAAATTATTATTATTGTTTTTATTATTATTAGTTTTATTAATTATTATTCTGATAAAACCGTCTAAGAAGGCCTTTGAGACATTATTTATTTTAGGGTGTATCTCCTCAGGTAGCAATGTGTTGTATGTTAGAAATTTGTGTATTAAAGCATAACTTATAAAAACTTTCTGATAAGAAATTGATAAGTTTTATTTTTTAGAAAATTTGAATGCTGTTCTTAATTTATTTACTGAAGAATCTATGGTAATGTAAATAATATGTTAATAATAGTTTTTATAGGATTGTACATTCTGAATTTTACCATTTAGTCTTAAATTTTGTAGAAATGCAATTAAAAACGATGCTCTTGGAGACGAACAAATTTCTTTGTACTTGGTGCAATATAGTTTTATATTTTAGTGTGTGTAGTACTGTATTACTGTTAGTGGCCAAAGAGATGTTTTTCTTGACAAACTGTACAAAATACAGATTTTTACAATTCATAATAAATACTGCATGTAAAGAAAGATCATTTATTCTTTCACGGTATCAGCGTTGAAGGTGGGAATCTTGAGATATGATATTTTTTTTAAAGATAAAAATTCAGTTTGTAGCCATGAAAAGAAAATTTGTAATGCCATTGAATTCCTTAAGTGCCTTCACACTGAATTTGGATAGGAAGGCCTACTAAACCGATCACAAAATTGAATCGGTGTGTAAGATTGGGGACACGCATTGGACGTGTATGTCGTACGATTGTTTCAGCTGTCTTAGTTATAATATAATAATGCATAGATTTTTAGTAAAGAGCCCTTTTATAATCTCTATTACACACAAGTGTAATGAATAAGAAAAGACAAATTAAATAGTGAAAAGATTTATGGGGTTCTCAAACATAGTCAAGAGGACATTCCCTCCTTGATGAAAATTGGGAGCAGGTTCCATAATATGAATTAAACGATCGTATCCC